ATAAATAAAAAAAAACCCTTATTTCACAAGCTAACAATTCCAACTCTATATACAAATCTAGACAAGAAATTAAGACCCAAGTACTTAGCACAGTATGGGATATCACGCTATATGAAATACCTATACTGCAATCAGTTAACAACACTCTAACTACCGTTCTTTCTTGCTATTTACCTCTGACAATAGCTGAAAAAGAAATTTACTAGCAACTTGACTCTGGCATCTTTATATTTTTTACTTTAATTAACCTGAAAGCCTTTATATATTTGACACATAACTATCTCAACTGCCTGTTTATAGCCTATCTTCTTGATAGACTCAAGAATGGATTTAGATTTAACTTTACAGGCAGAAGAGTTAAGCTTATTCAAACAACCCTAAAGTTAATTGAGATCAACTATCCATCATTTACAAGATATATTCAGGATAAACTAAAACAAAACTGTATGTGTGATCTCTTCTCTGAATACCAACCATCTTGTACAATATTTTAGATCAATTCTTGTGGCCTGGTAAAGAAGAAAAATACAAACCCGAAAGTATACTGTATCATATTATATTTGTCAACCCCTTTCAGAACAAGCATAAATGATGGCATCGACAAGATCGAATTTAGCACACAATATAAGAACATAAATCATACTATCAAATAGATTATATACTTTGGCAAAGAGTATTATCTATCAAAGATAGACATAAAGAACACCTACAAAATTCTTTCAATACATCCTATAGATCAAGTCTTACAGTGTATTATTTACAAAGATCAAATTTATTTTGACAAAGCATTAATTAGTCTAAATATTCTGCAGATTTGTAGATATTTTGATATGAATTACAGTATAACAAGAAATAAACTCAATAATTTACTATGTTGATAACTTTCTTATCATATCAAAATTAAATATATAAAATAAGCTAAATCAATTTCTTTAAATACTAAATATTATGAATATATTATACAAGACATCTAAACTTGAAGGTCCTAGTATCTTATTCACATTTCTCAGTATTCATATTAATACAAAAATGTTTATAGTCACAATTTCTGATATTAAAAAAAACAAGTTAATTGATATGCTAGATCAATGGTTCAACAAACAATAGTATTTCAGAAAGAAGCTACAATTCCTAGTCAGATTATTAATATAGGTATACCAAATCCTACCACAAAGATGACCTTTTATTCAATACCTTATTCAAGTATTAGATACAACAGGCAGCTCTAAATACCATATAAAAATCAACAAGATTATGAAATCAGACATCTAATAGTAGGTCACAACACTTTTCAGATGGTCTGATATATATCTAATAGAAGATTAGTGATGGTTTAGCCTATTTACACAAAATCTTTTCACTAACATGTTCAACTTAGAAGGAAAAGCAACATTCAAATCTTACTTCACTATATTTAACTAGGCTAGAGATATGAATTTACTTAGCACAATATGTAGAAAAGAGAGTTCTTAACTATACTAATAGCAATATTGATATTTTTACCTATTTGAACACATAAGCAATTTATTATATAAACAGATAATCAGGCAAATGCAGAGACCATGTACTCAGGTTTCTGTAAACAACCTACAATTAATAATATAGTAATACAGATATACCAAGCCTAAATACAAAAAGGCTTCTCAATTAAAGTTGAATATATACCAGACAAAGCAAATACAGTTGCTGACCTATTTTCACGAAATAGTCACAGACAATTTCTAAACCAAAATCCCACTACCCACTATTTACACTCTACTATCCCATAGACATATACTAATCTAATATTACCAATCCTATTCTTAATTTAATAGGCACTTACAACAGATGCTATTTTATTCTTAGCAATATAAACAAACTATTAAACAAACCAATATCAGTAGTTTCTAATTCTATACAACCTTTTAATCAGCAAGCAGCCCAAATTTTAGGTTTAGGAACAAAAACAAATAAAACGGCTAAAATATAGTATAGGTTACCCCTTTTTACCAGCATTATACCAATTTTTGGCTAGAATTATCACAGGGGGACTTGTATGTATATATATATATAATACTATATAATACTCTTTTTTATATAATTTTTAGAGTATATACACTATTTTTTAGGGTATATACCCATTTTTTAGAGTATATACTCTATTTTTTGAAATATATACCTATTTTTTAGAGTATATTATAACAACTACTATTAGTATCACCTGTCATACCTTCTGCAAATATAGCTAAAGCTACTGCTTTAAATAATACTACAAATGCAATAATTTAATTGGCAAATACACTAGCACTAGGCAGCAAGAAGTTCTTTATGAAAATTAATTTCTTTAATAGTAATAAAAGCCAAGATCTAGTAGAATGATTAGAAGAATTTGAACAAACAACTATTGCTAATAATTGGTTAGCTGCTTGCTAACTCACTCTTGCTTCTGCCTATTTGAAGAAAATTGCTACTAAATAGTTTTGAGGTCTTAATCCTGCCCTCAACATTTACAATAATGCACAAAATATGAACTGAAGTTTTTATTATCTTTTTAAAACCCAATTTAGTACCACCAAACAAAAGATCAAATGACAAAAACAACTATTTAAAATCAAACAAGAAACAGACACTGTGAATGCTTATATTACTTGCTTTAAAAGATTACAAGCCAGAGTAGACCTTGCCAATAATTTTCTCTATGACTTTGTTTTTCAACTCTTTATTCAAGAACTCAGATCTGAGTATGCAATTAGAGTATAAACTGAAGCTCCTGCTAATATAGCTGCTGCTATTACTGCTACTTGAAATTGAGAAAATAGCAAACTCATCTCTGTTTCCACTACAGATATAGATTAAATGATCAAACAACTAACTGAACAGATTGCTCAACTTATAGTAGCATCAATCTTGCTCAACAAAAACCTGCTACCAATATAGTATATTATGCTAAAAACCTTACTACTGCCCCCAGAATTAGACAACTACCTACTTGCCATTACTGTAGATATATTGGATATTTTGTTGCCCAATGTTATGTCAAACAGAGAAATCAAGAACAATTATGAGATGGAAGCCAAGATCATTATAACAATCATAATTATAATAGATCTAGAAGCTGAAACAAAAACTATTTTAGATTTTATGATAGAAATAGATCACAAGATAGAAATAGATCCAGAAGCTGTGACAATTATTCTCGAAATCAAAGTTATTTTTGAGAATAAGATAGTTATTATTTCTATACTGATAACTATAGAAGATCCTTAAATCACTCATCTTTTTCTTACTATTGTGATGTCAACTATCTTGACCAGAACTTCAAATCTTCTCCTCCTATGAGCCAACAGAAATAGGAAACTCTCTTAGACAACTCTTTTATCTGAAGTGCTCTTTCTGCTTACCTTAGCCAAGAAGCTAAAACTATAGCTATTACTCCTAAACTAACTACCACATCTGTTAAGTACAATATTAAAATTAGAAACAGATCTTATCAAGCTATCATAGATAGTGGAGCATCTATTAGTATGATTGCTTATAAAGTAGTCTAAGAATTAGAACTCAAAATTGAATAAGCCTCAACTAACCTTATTATCTCTGCTATCAAAATTTCTTTTAGATTACTAGAAATTATCTAAGACCTCCTCATACAAATCAAAGAAGCTACTATCTCTATTACTGTTGAAGTAGTCACTGCTACTTCTTATTCTTTACTTCTTAAAAATAACTAGTCCAAGAAAGTTGAAGCCAACTATAACTGAAAAAATGGCTGCTCCTCCTTTAAGTAGAAGAATCGCAAATACAATACTTCTACCACTTATAAAAATAACTAACCTCTTCTTGCTCAATCTATTATTACTAACCCAGATGAATTGGAGCTTTATAAACAGGAGTATCTAACCTCTAAAGAGACTTATATATTCAAAACTACCAATCTAGATATAGTTAACTTCAATGGCTAAACTACCTATCAACCTCATTGATACTATACTTGAAATCTTTCTTGAGTATATGAAAATTGTGGCTTATTTGCTCATTTTTTTGTCTAATACTCTACCAACTGCTACAACTGTTGTTAAAAAACTAAATATATCATAGTTCATTGCCCTATGCAAGTCCTACAATGTGCCTCTTGCTGAACTTGTAAACAGAACTACTTATACAGAGACTGTTCTAATAATCTCTATCATGAATATAATAAACAAGAACACATTGCTATTGATTGCTTCTATGCTTCCTTATACAAACAGAATTAGACATATCAATACGACTGTGACTCTAATGAGGTAGCTGCCCAAAGAGCCTACTACTATAGTACTAGATATACTCACTACTACTGCCAATACAAGAACCCAGAACTTAGGATTCTTGATAATTAACTTGTATGCTAAGCTTACTATGTAGACTCCAACCATGATTTAGATCAAAGTGATCTCAAAAGTATCTATTTTTATACCCAAGGTGAAAGACAAGAAGCCCTAGTCACTTATAAAATTTGTTTATACTCAGATATGAGATCTAGAATACATAACATAGAAAGTATAACTAAAGCTCTTTGGTTTTGCAATCTCGAACATACTGGTATATATACATATAAGGCTAGCTAAAATATCTTTTATAATCTCAACTACAACCTCTAGACCCAAATTCAACATTATATCACCTCCTCTTGAAGTGCTGGATCCCAATATGAAATAAATCAAACGCATATTTTTTGAT